GGTAGGCAGAGCGTCGCTTTTGTGTAATTATCTAAAAATATGTAAGACACGCGTAAAACGTGTTTCCATCATAATATATGTACTTCGTTTCTTTCTGTAACGTTTGGAACGTCTGGAACGGTTTGTATTTACATAAATATTTAACGAATTATGCTCGAAATAAGCGAAGAAGTGTATATAGCTACTCATGTAAAGTGCCCACTGTGTTTTACCCAGTTTTAATTAAAATTATACTCTCTCTCTCTCTCTCTAGCTGTGGCTCTACGGTCTTTCTGTTGGACCTTACCTGCTTTTATAGTTTCATAATCCTATACACAGTCGATGGGACTCCTTGTATGTGGGATCAGCCCGTAGAAAGGCAGCTACATACACACAGCATAAACGCACAGACATCCATGCCTCGAGTGGGATTCGAACCCACGATTCCAACGTTCGAGCGGTCGAAGACGGTTCAAGCCTTAGACTGCGCGGCCGCTGCGGTCGGCTAAAAGTATAATACGCAGATATATTTTGCCTAAGAAATTGTGGGCAAGGAGACCGCCATTCGCAATGTGACTTTGACTTTCATTCATAATTCGGAATTTATTCGTGAAGCAGAAGTGAGTGATTCCTAAGTCAGAAGCGAGTTAGTCACAGTAGAAGGAGACTAGAAGAGAAGACAGTCGCAGTCCAGTCAGAATGGAGAGAGTCGATAAAGTCTTACTTACTTACTTACTTACTTACTTACTTACTCCCTCATGGAGCTGAGCCCTTCTTGAGGAGCCGCCAATTCTGCAGCTACTCAAGAATTTCTAAACATTCTTTGGTACCCGAAGGTTCATTACATTGTTCACAACAGCCCTCCATTGGTCCCTATCCTGAGCCAGATCAATCCAATCCATACCATCCCATCCTGTCTCTCTAAGATCCATTTAATATTGCCCACCCACATACGCCTTGGTTTTCCCAGTGGTCTCTTTCTTTCTGGTTTTCCCACCAATATCCTATATGCATCCCTCTTCTCCCCCTTCGTGCTACATACCGTGCCCACCTCATCCTCCTTGACTTGATCATTCTAACAGAAAGTCTTAGGCAGTCATTAATTGTGATCAGTTGTAAGTGATTGTGATTAAGAGATATTGCTAAGAAGGTGCCAATAAATCCAATTATCCGACCCAAAACACGTTGTTATTAGTCACGGAACCCCGGGCACGTGTCGGTACGTAGGAAGCGTATTGAGGCGTCCCGCTGAAGATGCGAAGAGGAAGATGGATCGGCTGGGAGGGCGGGAAGTATTAGTGCGTAATGACAATCATGAAGATAACAGCTGAGCACGGCGTCTGGTTGTCCTGGAAACAGACAGAACACTGTCTCGTATAATGCGTTTTGCCAGGAATATTAATTTTAGTGACGGGGCTCAATGACGTCATACATGATAGAATGTAGGGAAGGGGTGTGACTTTATGTTGCTATAAATGTGTTCCCTGGCCATATAATTTGCTCGAAATTAATTTGCATTTCAAGGGGAAAAGTTGGCTGCATATAAACTGTATAATTTTCCTACCGCAACTAACATCGTCGTCAGGATATATATATATATATATATAT